CATTGTTGTTTGGCGGGTCCGGGCTGGGGATTCGAACCCGCCACCTTAGGTGTACGTGGCTGGCGCCTTAGCCGGTTGAGCTATAGGCGCCGAGCCTCTTTGTAGCTTCTTAAGAAATAAGCAATTACTATCCTTGGTTACCTATTGCTACATAAGAAATTACCTAAACACTTAACACCTTAAAGCAACTAATAGTTATCATGTCTCGTGGTTACTGAGTATCAGGAATCTTAAGAGCAGCTTAGCTGGTTGTTTTTGTTTGGAATCTCTAATGAGATTGAAGTCAAGTTTTTGGTCAGGGGTACATTCATCTGGGACCAGTGGATAGCAGATTTGCTGCCAAGCTCACACACATGAGGTTATTGGCAGTCAGTCCCTTATTGGCTTTCGCTGGAGACCTCAGTTCCTATCGTATAAGCCTCTCTCCACAGGCAGCATAAGAGAGAGCTTGAGATGGAAAATAGAATGTTTCATAGCCTAATCTTAGAAGTGACCTACTGTTCCTTCTGCTATATTGTGTTGGTCATAGAGACCAACCATATTACAATGTGGGAGGCAGCTATAGTTCATGAGTATGAACACTAAAAGGCAGGAATCACTGGGGACCTCCAGTAATTCATGTCTCTCCCTCATGTAAAATACAGTCCCCACCCAAGGCCCCCCAAAGTCTCTTCCTAGTACAAGATCTGCTTGAAGTCCAGTACATTATGATCTGAATCTAGCTGGGGTATGGGTGAAGCTCTTGGAGTATAGTTCCTCCTGATCTATTGACCTGTGGACTAAAGAGACAATCTGCCATCCATATACCCAGCCCACAGTGGTGGGACAAGCACGGAATAACTGCTTTACCCACCACTGTTCAAAAAGGGGTAAAAGAGGGAGCACACATAAGTCTCTGGTCCATAGCAGTTACAAAATCTACCCAGACAGATATGGAAGTTCCTTGAGGAGGACTTGTTCATCCTGGACTACTTCCCAGGAGTTTTTCACCATGACTCTTGGTGCCACCTTCTGGGCTCTTGGCTCTTTGCTCTGAGTTATCTGTCCTTTTTTCATAAAAAGTAATGTATTTGCAGCAGAGGAGTTTTGTTTTCATTTGTTTTGTTTGAGACAGAGATTCACTATGTCACCCTCAGTACAGTGCTGTGGTGTCACAGCTCATAGCAACCTCAAACTCCTGGGCTTAAGCAATTCTCTTGCCTCAGCCTCCCAAGTAGCTGGAACTACAGACGCCCACCACAATGCCCAGCTCTTTTTTTGTTGTGTTGTCATTGTTGATTTTATTTTATTTTATTTTATTTGAGACAGAGCCTCAAGCTATCCTCCTAGGTAGAGTGCCGAGGCATCACAGCTCACAG